TCCATCAATTCTAAGAATTTTGAGACACTTCCCACTTTGTTTTTCAACAACATTTTTGTATTTTTAAAACATGGTGTGCACATCTTTCTTCACCTTAATCAAGTAGATCCAAATTTTCCTGCTAAATTCATCAACAAAAGATACGAAGTATCTGTTGCCTCCTAATGAAGGCACATCAAAAGGACCACAAACATCTGAATACACTATATGAAGCAAACCTATAGCTCTCATAGGTAAATCAGTCAAAAAGGAATTCCTAGGTTGCTTGCTGATGAGACAACTTTCACACACTTTCTCAGGGACATGGACGACAGGTAACCCGATCACCATTCCTTTTGCTCCAAGTTGATTCAAGCTTTTGAAGTTTAGATGTCCAAATCTTGAGTGCCACAACCAACACTCTTGATCTATCTTTTCTTCAGTTAAGCATTGCACTTCAGCAACTTGAATGTTTACTTGAAATGTTCTATTATTGGCCAGAGGTGTTCTCAACACCAACGTTTGCTTCCTGTCAAACATTTCAAGATATTCATTCTTCATGGTCACAACAAAACCCTTCTCCACTAGTTGGCCTAAGCTCAGTAACTTGCACTTCATCTCTGGCACATATAGTACATTTTCAATTACAACATTCCTTCCATCTTTTCTTTTCACTATCAAATTCCCTGTACCCTCAACATTCACTGTTCTATTGTCACCAAAACGTACCTTGCTCTTTTTACTTACATCAAATTCAGATAACCATTCTCTATGGCCTATCATATGATTACTATATCCTGTATCAAGATACCATGACTCTTGATTAATAGCTTCACTACTAATAGCCATCAACAGTATCGTTTCTTCATCAGAGTCATCTTGAGCCATGTGAGCTTCATCATCATCTCCCTTTTTCTGTTCTCCTTTGTTAAATCTGCACTCATTAGCAAAGTGACCTATCTTTTGACAATTGTAACATACAATCTTTCTTTTATCAAACTTCTTTTTTGCCGCATTTATTTTCCCATTCCAACCACCTCCTGTTGAAGTTTTTGTATGTTCAATTTTAGAGCCTTGTTGTGTTTGTGAATCTACCTTCTTCCCCTTTCCTTTCCACCATTTACTACTGTTCTTGGTTACCTTTGCCTGTAAAGCTTGTTCAACGGCCTTGTCTTCACTTCTTTCATTAAGCCTCAATTCATGCACTTCCAGGGAATCTTGAAGTTCTTCAATTTTCATGTTTTCCAAGTCTTTCGATTCCTCGATCGCAACTACAATAAAGTCAAATCTTGAGGATAGAGTACGCATCACCTTTTGAACAATAATTTTGTTTGAGATATCCTCACCACACCCTTTCATTTGATTGATAAGACTCAAGATTCGGGTAAAATAATTTGTCACTCTCTCAGATTGCTCCATTTGTATCAACTCAAATTGTCTACGTAATGTTTGGAGTCTTACCTTCTTAAGCTTCTCATTTCCAGCATGACATTTTTCAAGAATATCCCAAGCCTCCTTTCCACTCTTTGCAGTAGCAATTTTCTCAAAGTGGGCCCCATCCACACACTGATGAATAAAAAACATTGCCTTGCAATCTCTTTTCTTGGTTTCTTTGTGTGCTAACTTTTGTGCATTAGTTGGAGTCTTCTCAAGCTCAGGAACACCATTCTCCACTACCTCAAGAACTTCCTGAAAACCAAATATTACCTTCATTTGAACGCACCACCTTTCCCAGTTCTTCACATCAAGAATTGGTAAATTGCCAAGTAGATTTCCGCTGAAACCCGTCATGATTGACCTGGCTCTGGATACCAGTTTGTTGGAGAAAGAAACTCAAACAAAGGTAAAAAACGTAACACGTGTATTACAAAAAAGGGAGTTGTTCAACTTACAACTCACATATAATATTTATATGAAGAGTAAGCATGTAACAAACTATACATCAATTACTACAACACACGTAGTTACGTAGTTTGAATTACTACAACACAAGTCGTTACAAAACTCAATAGTTGAATCTCTGCTAGTGATCTTGTGAGGATGATTTTATAGGTCATGAATCTATCGGAGATGGAAAACTCTTTGAATTCCTTCATGAAATTAACACTTTTTTTTCTCCGCGGCAATTATTACTACTTGATGACATTAAAAAAATTAACAAGTTAATAATTATAATAAAAAATAACAAATTAATAAATTAATACAGTATAATCAAGAAAATATAATTATAAAAATGTATTTATTATCAAATATTATTTTTTTCTAAAAATAATAAAATAATAAGTGAGTGATGATAAGAATAAAATTACAACATATATTGAAGTAAAATAATGATAATTAAATAACTAAAATTTATAAAATTAAAATTAAGTGCTTTTAATTAAATTTGAAATTTTTTGGAATAAATTACAAAAACAAAATTTGCTTTTAATTAAAATAAAATAGTGTAACAATTAAATTTAAAATCAACAAGAGAGATAAACCTAAATTTAAGTTGTAAATTTAAATCGAAAACAATAAAATAAAATTGAAATCAGACAATTGATAAATTAAAATAGAATATGAGGTAAATTGAATATTAGAATAAATAAAAATTCTAAGCAATTAAATAACATAAATTAAATTGAGTACAAAATGAATAAAACAAATTCAATAATATAAAACATAAAAAATTAAGAGAGATTGTTAATTAAATAAAAAAAACCGAAAAAAAGTTGCAATAGATGCAACTAAGCTTGACGAACTAAAAAATAGACTAAAAAAAGTTGCAATAGATGCAACTAAGCTTGACGAACTAAAAAATAGACAAAAAATTAATTAGTAATTAAAACAGAATTGAAGAAAATGGGTACAAGCAAAAATAGCAATTCTCATCCTAGAGAAGAAGATTAGTGTTTTTCTCGCTCTCATCAAGCCTCTATTTAAGGGAACTGACTAAGAAAATATAAGCTTAAAATTAATTACAATAAAATCAAATATTTTCTTAATTAAAAATTGCAACACTCGAATTATTAGACGACGAGAAATTTCTGGGATTGATTGGAGCAATTTAGATTCTTTCTTGATTTAAGTTGATCCAACGCTTATTTGCATTTAATTCTTGATTTCTACAACCTTTAATATAGTTCAATTAGATTCTCTCACCAGTTAATTTGATTGTTTCAAAATTTTCATTTGTAATATTCCACAAGTAGATTGCACAAGTTAACTTGGACTTTCAATAAGAGTGAAACTGGGTTGCACATGATGTTTGTTATGAATTTGAATATTTATTTCTATCAATTTGACTCATCTCACATTATTTATCTCCTACAAATAAATAAAAAAAGAAATATCAACTATGTATGTATGTTTTGATGGTAAAACTATGCAAAAAGTAACAAATTAAAAAAATTTGAATTATACTATGCTTTTTCACATGTTAAATGCATGGTTTATGAAGAAAATAATTAATTTAGAAAATGATCTTAAATCAAGAAATAAAGAGTAAAATGTCATATATCAAATACTGATCACTTTCTCTTTTGCACTTCTAATATAAGATACAAGAAAGAAAAGAAAAATATGCATGCATGTAATACAAAAATGAGTACTATTTCAAATGTTAGTCATATCTTCAAAACTATAATAGTAAAAAAAACTTCATTAATAAAAAATTATTGAATAAAAAAGATCAAGATCATAACTTCAAAGTATCATTACGGTCGAGTATGAATCAATTCAAGGGAACGTCCTCTCATTATCAAGTGTTTATTCTACTCTCAAGCGTTTAAGCTCAACATTCCACTCATCATCATATAATGACATCGTCCTTTACAATAGTTTTGAAATATCTCTAAATTTCCATTATTAAAACACATACCACAACATATCAACATGACTTTTTCTTGTCTTGTAATGGGGTTAGGGTTAAGGGTAGGTTAAGAAAGGAAAGTGGGCTAAGTCCTTAGGAAAAATAAAGAACATGGATCAATGTACGTTGAAGTTTTGTTTCAGTTGCATCTTTTATTTTTGTCATCTTTGTATTGGAGTGCCTTCTGAGCTCCTTTATTACTTGGACACACGAACAAAATGATTTTTTTTTTCTGGTACTTTGACACTTCTCATTTTTCTGGAATTATTGGTAGCGAGTATAACTCAATTTTTGTAATGATTTTACGCTTCTTACTTCCCTTTACATCTGAGTGTGAGTATTTTCTGGGTTGAAAAGATTTTAATTCTCAGAATTAAATTCAAGAAAAGACTAAAGTTCAAAGATGGGTTCAAAGGATAATTTAAAATAAGAATAGACTATTTGACTAAATTTTTAAGATAAAAAAGACCTAAATAATTTCTTCTAGTGTATGTGCTCTACCGGCGTCACATATAAATTAATCAAATTCTGAAAGGTTTTTGTGTCATGAGTAGTGCATATAAAAAGAAATAAGACTCAAAACTCATCTAAATGTTTTGTTCACCCTGAATTAATCCAAATTAATGTTAATGTAATGTGACTATGTCTTCTTATATTAATCAAATATTTTAAATTTTAAATTCTTCCTCTTGATCAAATCAATTATTTTATTTTAAGTAATTCTTCTTTAATCTACAATATTATATAACAGTTAAAATAAAACATGAATGAAACCTCGTTAAAATAAAATATGAATGAAACCTCGTACATAAAATATAAATATTCTCCTATTTTGAAGTTATCATTACCTTGGACGATCATACACGTAAAGTTTGCTTTCATAAGCTGTAATTTTATGTTTGGAACCATGGTGTTAATTGATTAAAAGATCGACTTAGTTGGCATTTTCTGGATACTTAATTAAAAGATTCAGTGGGGGGACTAATTTGGTATTATTACTCACAAATTGATTGTTATTCTGTTACTATTACAGATAATAGTTTCTTTATCTGGACCTAGGACTACAATTATGGTAAGTCATTAAACTTTTCTATTAAATTATGCACACATTTCTCACAGTAAACTTGGATAATTTCAACATATCCAACCAAGTATTGAACTATTGGTTATGGGATATAAACATTCAGCAGAGTGCACAGAAAACTCAGGTGAGGCAACTGTTGAAAATGTTGACGTGGAAACTGTTGTGGAGGGAAGTGTTGTAGCAGAAGAAGGAACTGGTCTCGTTGAAGAAAATGTTAAGGATCACAATAAGCCAATCTCGCAAAATTCTAACCTTAGTGAATGGGAAGCCAGAAGGTATGGAACAATGACTGCAAGGATTTTGCGAGATGTAAAAATAACCTGATTTTAATAGTTTCTCTGGGGAAATATAGTCATAGTAAACATATTATGATAGTCATAGCATATGCTTGAAGTTTATGTTTTTTTTTTTTTTATAAAAAATAAAATAAAATTTGATCCCTCTATTTTCATTGTTAATTTCAGTTCATTTGTTTGCTTGACATTTGGTCTTTGATGAAATATTGATAACACACTGAAATAGAGTTTATATTAAGTACTGTACTATATATACAGAAGCACTAACTAGCCATTGCCAAGACCTAAATCTACACAAAAAAAACTCCCTATATCCCTTGAACTACTTAGGAAAGACATGTATACACCTCTTCCGTGAGATTTGAAATGATGATATAATTGGATTTTATGATTCTAAAAAAATAGTGCTCTACACATGTCGTCTTATCAAGTGACAAATGACAAAGCTATAATTTTATTTATGTTTTTACCTTTAAAGGAGATGCAAAAAAACACCATGTAATGGACATCAGAGAAATGGTTTAGACATGCATAAAAACCTAAAATAGGTAAACTAATAATTCAAATTCAACTATTTTGAGGGGTACACCAAGCTCTTGCCGTAGTGCAAGACAAGAGTGATGTTGATAGTCCAATAGCAAGCTATTGAAAATGACTCTCTCCCTAAAAAATTAATTTAAGAGAAATTGGGTTTTTGGGCTTATGTCTTTTGCTCAAGCGACAACACTCGCTCAAACGAAAGTTTTCTATTTTCGCTCAAGCTACAAAATGCTCGTTTGAGCGAGTGAGTTCCAGGAAAGAATAACTAATTTTCGCTCAAACGAAATTATTGGTGCTTAAGCGATTGACTTCCAGAGAGTTTTAACTGATTTTTGCTCAAGCGAGAGTCTATCTCGCTCGAGCGACTTCCATGCTAAAAATTTTCTTCTTCCTTTCAGTTTTGTTCCAATTATGTTGACAATTATGCCACTTACTCTTGTATCAAGATATTCTTGAATTCATCCTACATTGGAAGAAAAATATATTAGAATTGACATAAGTTAAGTGATTTCATAACAATTAAAAGTATAATTATATCAATTTTTTACCATTTAACAACTCTCCCAAACTTAGAATCTTGCTTGTCCCAAGCAAAGTCATTTTTCCAAAACAAAATCATCACCTATTATCACTTTCTCTTCTAGAACCACAACATAAAAAATATTTTTTCTTCCAGATGCGATACTCACAACTCCAAATGAAAATAAAATATATAAGCATTCAAGTTACAAAAACTAACAAAGGAAAATTAATCATCAACTATCCTCAGAGAAGCATGATCTCTCACATAGAGTGATATATATTTGAATTATTATTAGATTGAAAGAATTGTACACTAGCAAGTGATTCGAACCTCAGATATTTTAGAATTAGAGAGCTCGATACTCCAACCACTAAGCTACTAGGATTTTTTGATAATAATTCATAAATAAATTATATTTATATACAAATAAAAATATATATCCGTGTAAATATATAAATATAAAATATATAAATATAAAATATATAAATACAAATACAATATATATATATATATATATGTATGTTGGATGTGAGGGCGCGCTCGAGGGTGAAAGTGTGTGTCGAGTGGATTTTTAAAATTTGATGTCAAATTTGTGAGCGGGTCTCTTTATATGAGTTTATAATTTAATGACACAATATAATCTTTATAATTTATTTATATAATGATATAAAATAATTTTTTTCTTTATTTATTTTTATTTTAATTTATTCTTCTTATATTTTTTTCTTCTATTATTTAATTAAAATTCTTATATTAAAATAATTTTTTCAATATTAAAAATAATTAAATATTTATTTTTAAAATTATTTAATTTAACAAATTATTATAAATTTATCTAATTATGATTATTAATAGAACAATTTTTTCCTAACATATATTATTATAAATTAATCAAAATCATCTTTTAATAATTATTTTTTCCAGACATAGATTAATTCATAATAATTTGTCAAATTAAATAATTTTAAAAAATAATTTTGAATATAAATATTTAATTATTTTTAATAATGAAAAAATTATTTTAATATAATAATTTTAATTAAATAATAGAAGAAAAAAAGATAAAAAGAATAAATAAAAATAAAATAAAAATAAAAATAAATAAAGAAAACAATTATTTTATATCATTATATAAATAAATTATAAAGATTATATTCTATCATTAAATTACAAATTCATATAAAGAGACTCACTCACAAATTTGACATCAAATTTTGAAAACTCACTCGATACACACTTTCACCCTCTAGCGTGACCCTCACATCGAACATATAAATGTATAAATATATCAAAATATATAAATATATTTATATTTATATATTTATATATTTACACGGATATACATTTATTTGTATATAAATATAATTTATTTGTAAATTTTTATTAAAAAATTCTAACAGTTTAGTGGTTGGAGTATTAATATCTAACTCTAAGGTATTGGTTTTGAATCTTATTAGTAATAATTTTCTTAATCTGATAAAAAAATTTTGTTAATAAGAGAAATTATATATTTTTGTGGTAAGACGATGAGATTTTTAGGTTAAACTAAAATTAGTGACAACTAAATTGTTGTTATGAACTAAAACCCAAAAAGTAAAAAATAAAAAAATATAATTAAATAAAAGAAAAAATATATACTTTTGTATTTTTATTTTCAAATATTAGTTTTTTTATGAAATTATTTTTAATTGAAATAATTAAAGTGATATATATATATATATATATATATATATATATAATTTTTTTATTTTTTTAATTTTAATTTATTAATATTATCAAATTTTAGCTTCATGATTAAAAAAATACCAATAATTTAAATTTTATTAATTCTATAATTTTATATAATTATTATTATAAATTTAATTCTCCAATAACTAATAATATTAACACATTTATTAAATTAAAATTCTTTATTTTAATTAATTTTTTTGATTTTTTTAATAATTTTTTTAAAATAAAATCAATAAAACTTAAAATTAATTTCTAACTAAATCTTCACAGATTTATGGTTAATAGTATATTATATTATTATGTTTAATTAAATTTTAAAATAAGTTCACTTAATCTTTACACTTTTATAAAAATACTAATATAAACTTAAAATATTTATCCAATTATTAAATTATTTAAAATATTAATATAAATTTGAAATAGCAATTCAATAATCAAAATAATTTTAATTTGTGTTATAAATACATTGAAATACATTTTTATTAACATAAAAGTATATATATATATATATATATATATATATATATATATATCAAAAAGAGACTAAATTAATAATTAATTTAATCATTGATTATATATATAAAAGAGACTAAATTAATAATTACTTTAATGATCAAATCGGTGATCGATTCGGTGACTAATTTAATAATTAATTTTAATTTTTTTATTCACATACTAAATTAAAAAATAAAATCAAATAATTATATTATTAAATTATTTAATAAGTTAATAAACTATTTTTTAAAATTTTTATAATGTTATTAAAATTTTTATCAATTATTTTAAATTATTAGGTAGATTTATATTTAATATATTATTAAAATATTTTTAAAAAATATTTATATAAATAAAAAATTGTCACTAATTTATATATTATTTGTTTAGTGACTGAAATTTTAGTCACTAAATCAGTCACTATATATAAAAAGAGAAATCGATCACTGATTCGATTACTATTAGTAACTCGAATTTTTCGATCACTAATTTCGATCATTATTAACCATTTTTCTAGTAGTAATCTGAATCGAATCAGTGACCGATTTCTGTGACTGAAATTTTAGTCACTAAATCAGTCACTAAATATAAAACTCAAATCAGTCACTGATTCAGTTACTATCAGTGACTGAATTTTTCGGTCACTAATTTCAGTCACTATTAACCATTTTTCTAGTAGTGTTTAGACAATCCAATATTGATAATCGGCTTAAAGCAATTAGCATTTGTTAAGCAATACTTAAATCAAAAAGTCTTTTGAGGCTTGTAATGGGGTTGGGCTAAGAAATAATTCATTGGTTTTTCTGGGATATACAAAAGTATTTGAGAAATTTAAATCATATGAATTATTCTTGTTTAACATTTCCTCAAGTCGGGTTTCAAACTTCACGCTTTTGTTCTAACATCAAGATAATGCATTAACAATCTTGCCAGTTATCATTCACACCACTTTGAATTTCCTTCTCCTTTACTCATGTTTTACATTTATCATTCCGGCTTAGCCTCAACTTTTATGCTTTTCTTTTCCCTTTTTCTCAACCTCTTTTTCTCCTTCCTTTTCTTTCTTTATTTTTTTTTTTTGGAATACCCAACAATACTCATAGGAAAACACTAGCAATACCCAACAATACCTGTAGGAAAACTGATAACATTCATAATCATTTCATTTCTCAAATATAGGAAGGTGGATAATTATTGTTTAGGCTCAAGGGTTCTGTTTAAGAAAATATCTCGTTTTTTGCTCAAATGGGGTTCAATTGGATGTCCTATAATTAATGCAGGGTTGACTATTTGGCTCTGGGTTATATCTACTACACAAGAAAAATGCCTTTATCATTTAGTCTCACTAATATGAAATCACATCAAAGAATCAATCAATACCAGTTATCATCATAAAGTGTTGACACTCAATTTGAACTGTTTATGATACTTTATTCACCTGAGTTTTGGCTAGCTTCTCCAATTCAGTTAATTCTTAATTCTCCTCATCAATTTATTTTCACCCTCATACTCATCATCCCAAAATCACTTGTTATTGGAAACAATAAAAATGATTTTTCACGTTCCAGATTTGAATTAGACAATAAGCAATAATTTCATATATGACTCTAATAAAAATTGTATGGGACAACAAATAAATTTAATCACATCAAATTGAGAACATTAATCAACTTTAAGTACCAAATGTCAATTCAAAACATTAAAAACAAAAAAATTTAAAATAAAAAAAATCAAATTAACAAAACAAATAACTTAACACATAAAAAAAACTTAAACTTAAATTAAACTGTTGCCTCCTTTTTATTCTTCTTCACTTGCTGATTCTCCTTCTTCTTGCGCCTCAGCCTCAGTTGTAGACTTTCTCACCCCCTCCCAGAAAAATTGGACTGTCCCCTGACCATTGAAGTAAGACTTCAAAGTCTTGAAGAGAAGTTCACTGTGTACCTGGAGCAATCTTGCAAAGAAAGAACTTAAGAAGAAAAATGCACAAAAAAACTTAACTTGCAAAAAGAAAAATAAAATAAAATTCAAAAAACTGGGTTGTCTCCCAGGAGCACTTGTTTAACGTCTTCAGCTCGATGCCTATTTGCTTTAGGGCTCATGCAGGTGAGTGATCCAGGTGATCTATATGCATTCTCCATCCCTTTATTGTTCTTGTGGGAATGAATTTATTCTTTTCATTGCGAATGACTGCCATCCCAGGATTCACCTTACGACTGTCAGAGATTCGATAAATCATACCTGCTTCATGAGGTTTCAATGCCTCTTTTTGAACAACTTTTTTCATAGTCAGATTGAACTATTTTTGGGGTTGTGCAACAGGCTTGTAATATTGTTTTTCAGTTGAGATGAGTTATTATCTATTATGAGACAATCTTTATTGTCTTTCAGTTGTTGTAGAACTTCAAATAGATTAAAATTAACTTCATCATCTCCACTTCAAATAGATTAAGATTAAAAAGAGAGTATATAATTGAAAATAAGTTAAGTAATATAAACACAAATAAAAAGTAAAATAAAAATAAGAACATAAACAATCATAATAAAAATAAATGAATATATTTTTAATAATTAATTTATATATAAAGTAAATAAATAGACCTTTTATTATTTATAGAATATATAAATATACAACTCTTATGTTTGTAACAAAGTAGTTATAACAATTCTATTTTCTTAACATTTTTCCTAAATTATTCTTTTTAGGAATTTGATGTCAAAACTAAAAGAGAATATTAAATAAAACACCAACTAAGAAATTATATATTTTAAGAATTGTTTAGTTGAAAGATATAATTATTAGAAGAAAACTGTAATTTTTTTAATTTATAAAAATCTTTTGGAGTAAATCCTAATAAATTGGATTTTTCATCTATTTTATAAAAGAACCAAAATCTTTAGTTGCTTGCAAATGAATAATTTTCTTTGCGGCCAACAATGCATTTCTATATGATTCTCGATGTATCTACTTATTATACTTATAGAAAATATTATGTCCGGTTGTGTTGTAGTTAAATACATCAGATTGCTAATAATTTGTTTATAAAAAGCGTGTTGTGAATAGTCTTTCTTTCATGATCTTTACGAATCTTTAGACTATGCTCTTGTGGAATATTTAACATTTAAAATCCTTCATTTGAAATATATTCAAATCATCTCATACTTATTTTGACAGATATTGATTCCATCAACTGATTGAATTAAGTTTTTACCAAAAAAAAGTAACGGATCAAGACAAGATCACTCATTCCAAAATCATTCATCATAAATTTCTTAAAGTTACCAAACCTAAAAGTGCAAATTAGAGTAAAAATAAGATTATTAGCATATAAGTAAACCATAAACAATTTACTTTTATCTCAAATTTGCTCAAAAAGTGTGTTCAAAAGGATGTTTTGTGAATCCATCTTTAAGAAAATGAGATTCAGTGCGACTATACCATATTCGTGAAATTTATTTTAACTTTACCGTCTTCTTTCAACTTTGCCATAAATACCCGTTTTACACTAATGATGTTACACTCTTTAGGGTTATCACACAATTACCATGTATTATTCATTTCTTTTAGTGATATCAATTTCATCATTCATCGCCGTTAGTCATTTCTCTTCCTTGACAGTATTTTCGTATGTTATAGGATCCCAAACTACAAATAAAGTAAAATACATAATTGGATAGGGAAGTCTAGTTACATAATCATCCATCCAAACTCGTCATTTTCCTATGCAAGAAAATAATTAATCTTCATTATCATGCTTTGTAGAAGAAGTTTTGGTGATTGTTGAAGCAGTTATTTCTAATGTAGAAGAGACTGATATGTGTTCTTTCTCATCATTTTTATCTAGTAATACTTGGGTAGGCTGCTACATATTTCAATCCCAAGTTTTTTTTTCATCAAGAACAAAATCCCAAATAGTGACAATCTTTTCTGCATAAGGATTAGTTAATTTATATGCTTTAGACATTTCACTTTCCCTAAAAAAATACACATTTTTCAAATTTGTCATCCAGTTTCTTTCTTTTTTTGATTCAGAACATGGACAAAGGTAATGCATCAAAAAATTCTAAAGTGCTCCACGTCTAGTAATCTCCCACTCCATGCTTCTTCTAATGTCATGTTTTGAATATTAAAAGTTGGACTTCTATTCAAAATAGGAACACTCCAATTTAATGCTTAACGTCAAAATTTATTTTGGAACATTCCCTTGAGTTAATAAGTTCCTCACCGTATTCAAAATGGTCTTATTCTTCATTCTAAATATACCGTTTTGTTGTGGTGTATAGACAGTTATGATCTCTCTTTGTATATCATGCTCTGCACAAAAATGTCCAAAATTTGTTGAACAATACTCATCACCACGATTAATGTGAAGGGTTTGAATGTTTTCCCAAACTCATTTTTAATTTGAGCTTTAAGAATCTTGAATGAAAATAATGCTTTAAACTTGACTTGTAAAAACTAGACCCAAGTTTTCCTTAAAAAACTATTAGTGAATGTAAAGAAATAACTTTTGCTTCAATTACAAGATGGATTTATTGGACTGCAAATATCTAAGTGTACCAATTTTAACATATTCTTTGTTCTTCATGACTTGTTATTAGAAAATTGAGAACAATGTTATTTTCTAACACACAATCCTCACACACTTGATAAGGATATTGAATTTGAAGGAGTCACTTAATCATGTTTTTCTAATTGAGAAGTTTTAATCCTCAAAATCTCAAATGGTCATACTGAATATGTCATAAACATGATGAGTCTTTGATTTCGGCTACCAAATTAGACTTAACTGTTTCAATCTTCAATGGAAATAACTTGTTTGAAACTCATATGTACAACAAGAATAACACCTCTAATTGAATATATTTCACAAATACCTCTTTTATTAGTAATATTATAACTTTTTTCTTATAATTGACTAATACTAAATAAGTTACTTTACAGATCAGGTATTACATTATGTATTGTTTTCACAAAATCAAATTTGATTTTAATTTGAATATGATATTTACCTCTTATGTTTACAAAAGAGAAATATCCAAAAATAATGGTAGAATGAAAATCTCATTTAAATAAGAAAAAGAAGAGTTACAATCATTCATGTGATTACTCCATGTATCAACGTACCAAAATTTCAAGTACACACATAGTCATTAACAAAGTTTTTTCTTCTTTTCAATTTTTTAACAAAATGTAAGTTTTCCCATTTTGTTCTAAAATTGATCTTTATTACCTTTCAAATCTCTTCTTTCTTCTTTACATCCTTCATCTCCATTAAAAATATATATTTATTTTTTATTTTTTTTAAATAATACTAACTTTTTTTTTTCTTTCATATATCTTTTACTTATTTCTTTCATATCTTTAGAACTAAATTATTAGTATCCTTTAAATAATTAATTTACGAAACGTTGTAGGTATTGACATGAGGATAGACATGAATACCCAGATAGCATGAATAGAGCAGTTATTATTGACACACCATTATGAAAAAGGAAAAGAAAAGGTTATTGACACACCATTGTCAACCAGTAAAAGAGAAGAGTTTATGGGCACACACCATGTTCACCTGCCATATGCAATCTCTACTCATCATGTATAGAGCGTAGAAGCAGATTGTTGGGATATTTGTTTAACGATTGACACGCAACCATGTGGCTCGAGCGTATGTAGCTGTGTTCCTGTTGCAGTAATTGCTGGTATCTGCTTACCTGATATAGCAGTTGAGTCCATTGCGAAGAGTCTTGATGAATATCCCAACCTATGTGTGTCTCATCATGATTGTGTGAAGAAAGGCAGTGGCAACTTCTGTACTCGTTCTCTTTATCCAAATGTGCCTTTTGGCTGGTGCTCTCACTCCAACACTGAACCACTGAAAGGTTTCTTGGCTATGCCTGAAACAATTGACAAGTGAAATGGGTATGCCCATCACTCATAAGTCATCATGCATCTTCTACGATAAATAAAAGCCTATGATCCATGCATTTACTATCCATCCACTACATTAAATAAAACACTTCTCTCATGTGTGTTTATCCATCCACTACGTTAAATAAAACACTTCTCTCATGTGTGTTTTTCCAACTCATTTGTTTATATTAGGTCTCTAAACATATAAAAAAAAAAAAGATATAAGTCAATTTTGTTGGTTAACGTCAAACTGGTATTTTAAAATATAACTAAATCTTAAAAGTTGTTCCTTAAACAAAATGTAATTTGATTACAAAATAGATAACAGTACCCAGAATAGCAAAACATATAATTTAATAAAAATATATATATGTGTGTGCAATGTCATAACTAAATCTTAAAAGTTGTTCCTTAAATCTTATATATTGCTTACTAGTGTTATTTTTGGTTTTGTTATACGTTATTAGTTAGGAGGATTGATTTGAAGGAATATTTTCGTTATACAAATGCAGGATATATAAAAATGCGGACAGATACACAAGTTTCCTGATTTTATAATCTAAAGACGAATTATGAGTTTAGTTTAAGCTATCGAGTTTATAATTTACGATTTTACAATAAAGTTTGCCGAGTTTAGAGTTTGTCATAGGAATTAAGTTATTATTGTGTATGAGTCCGAGTTTGTAACAAACCTGCTCGTTTTCTCGAACACATTAATAGTTACGACACGTATTTAACGATGATTTTAGTAATAAGGTCATGTGTCAAAGGTTTATTCTCAAAAGATGTGGATGAAAATTAAGTGAAAATCCTAACTAGTCTTGATCGTTCAATGAGTTTTCTTCTTCATCTTCTGCTGTACAAGTGTTCTATTATTCTTGAGTTTTTTAATTTTGAAATATGAGTTAATGTTTTACAATTTCTTATGCTTCTAGTTTTTTGCACAATTCCATGTTGAATCTCTGCTAGTGATATTGTGAGGATGATTTTATAGGTCATGAATCTATCGGAGATGAAAAACTCTTTGAATTCATTCATCAAATTAACACTTTTTTTTTTTTGCGGTGGCAGTTATTGCTACTTGATGACATTAAAAAAAATTAACAAGTTAATAATTCTAATAAAAAAAATCACAAATTAATAAATTAATACAATATAATCAAGAAAATATAATTATAAAACTTATTCATTATCAAATATTATTTTTAATAAAAATAATAAAATAATAAGTGAGTGATAATAAGAACACGAAAAAGCTACAAAATAAACTCAATCAAAACGATGAAAAATTAAAAGTAAATTACGACAAAGGGTTTGGTTAAGATATGTCAGATTCCATCAAGTATACAAATGAAACTCAATCATACATACCCTTCAATTATATCTTCCAAATCATCCACACTAACAATCCATCCCTCACCCCCAAAAGGTGATTTTAATAAATATCTAAATAGAATACTTGGACTGAGGATAAAATTAGTTATTTTTCTTATATCTCCTCCCCCGGAGCCTATGTATCATATATACCTCTAAAATAAAGAGTCTTGAATACTAGAAGAAAAATACCTATACCTAACAAGATTAACTGAATACCCAAAAATTAAATTGAAGTAAAATAATGATAATTAAATAACTAGAATTTATAAAATTAAAACTAAGTGCTTTTAATTAAATTTGAAATTTTTTGGAATAAATTGCAAAAACAAAATTTGCTTTTATTTAAAATAAAATAATGCAACAATTAAATTTAAAATTACTGAAAAAGATAAACCTAAATTTAAGTTGTAAATTGAAATCGAAAACAACAAAATAAAATTGGAATCATACAATTGATAAATTAAAATAGAAAATGAGGTAAATTGAATATTAGAATAAAAAAAATTCTAAGCAATTAATAACATAAATTAAATTGAGTACAAAATGAATAAAACAAATTCAATAATATAAAACATAAAAATTTAAGAGAGATTGCTAATTAAATAACAAAAAAGAACAAATCAAAAAAAAGTTGCAATAGATGCAACTAAGCTCGACAAACTAAAAACTAGACTAAAAATAAATTAGGAATGAAAACAGAATTGAAGAAAGGGGATAAGAAAAAATAGCAATTCTCTCCTTAGAGAAGAAGATTAGTATTTTTCTGCTTTCATCAAGTCTCTATTTATAGGGAACTGACCAAGAAAATATAAGTTTAAAATTAATTACAATAAAATCAAATATTTTCTTAATTAAAAATTGCAACACTTAATTATTGTATGATGAGAAATTTTTGGGATTGATTGGACCAATTTAGATTCTTTCTTGATTTGAGTTGATCCAACGTTTATTTGCATTTAATTTTTGATTTCTACAACTTTTAATATAGTTCAATTAGATTCTCTCATCGATTAATTTGATTGTTTCAAAATTTTTACTTGTAATGTTCCACAAGTATATTGCACAAGTCAACTTGGACTTCCAACAAGAGTGAAGCTCGGTTGCACACTATGTTTGTTATGAATTTGAATATTTATTTCTATCAATTTGGCTCATCTCACATTATCTATCTCCTACAAATAAATAAAAAAAGAAATATATATCAACTATGTATGTATGCTTTGATGGTAAAACTATGCAAAAAGCAACAAATTAAAAAAATATTGAATTATACTATGCTTTTTCACATGTTAAATGCATAGTTTATGAAGAAAATAATTAGCTTAAAAAATTATCTTAAATCAAGAAATAAAGAGTAAGATGACATACATAAAATACTCATCACTTTTCTCTTTTGCACTTCCAATAAAGGATACAAGAAAGAAAAGAAAAATATGCATGCATGTAATACAAGAATGAGTACTATTGCAAACGTTAGCCATATTTTCAAAACTATAATAGTAAAAAAAAAATTCATTAATAAAAAAAAAAGAAAATAAAAAAGATCAAGATCATAACTTCAAAGTATTATTACGGTCGAGTATGAATCAATTCAAGGGAACGTCCTCTCATGATCAAGTGTTTATTCTACTCTCAAGGGTTTAAGCTCAACATTCCACTCATCGTCATATAATGACATCGTCCTTTATAATAGTTTTGAAATATATCTAAATTTCCATCATTAAAACACATACCACAACTTATCAACATGACTTTTTCTTGTCTTGTAATGGGGTTAGGGTTAAGGGTAGGTTAAGAAAGGAAAGTGGGCTAAGCCCTTAGGAAAAATAAAGAACATGGATCAATATACGTTGAAATTTTGTTTCATCTTTTTTTTTTTTGTCATCTTTGTATTGGAGTGTCTTCTGGATTCCTTTATTACTTGAACACATGAACAAAATGATTTTTGTTGTTTTTTTTTTTTCTGGTACTTTGACACTTCTCATTTTTCTGGAATTATTGGTAGCGAGTATAACACAATTTTTGTAATGATTTTATGCTTCTTACTTCCCTTTACATCTGAGTGTGAGTATTTTCTGGGTTGAAAATATTTTAATTCTTGTATTTAAATCCAAGAAAAGACTAAAGTTCAAAGATGGATTCAAAGGATAATTTTAAGTAAGAATAGACTATTTGACTAAATTATTAAGATAAATAAGACTTAAATAATTTCTTCTAGTATATGTGCTCTACCAGCGTCACATATAAATTAATCAAATTCTGGAAGGTTCCTTTGTCATGAGTAGTGCATATAAGAAGGAACAAGACTCAAAATTCATCTAGGTGTTTTGTTCACCCTAAATTAATCCAAATTAATGTTAATGTAAACTGACTATGACTTATATTAATCAAATATTTTAAATTTCAAATTCTTCCTCTTGATCAAATCAATTATTTTATTTTAAGTAATTCTTCGTCAATCTACAATATTAGATAATAGTTAAAATATAATAGTTAAAATAAAATATGAATGAAAACCTCGTTAAAATAAAATATGAAGGAAACCTCTTACAATATTCTCCTATTTTGAAGTTATCATTACCCTCGATGATCATACACGTAAAGTTTGCTTTCATAAGCTGTAATTTTATGTTTGGAACCATGGTGTTAATTGATTAAAAGATCAACTTAGTTGGCATTTTCTGGATAATTAAAAGATTCAACAGGGGGGACTAATTTGGTATTATTACTCACAAATTGATTGTTATTCTGTTACTATTACAGATAATAGTTTGTTTATCTGGACCTAGGACTACAATTATGGTAAGTCATTAAACTTTTCTATTAAATTATGCACAAATTTCTCACAGTAAACTTGGATAATTTAAACATCCAACCAAGTATTGAACTATTGGTTATGGGATATAAACATTCAGCAGAGTGCACAGAAAACTCAGGTGAGGCAACTGTTGAAAATGTTGACGTGGAAACTGTTGTGGAGGGAAGTGTTGTAGCAGAAGAAGGAACTGGTCTCGTTGAAGAAAATGTTAAGGATCACAATAAGCCAATCTCGCAAAATTCTAACCTTAGTGAATGGGAAGCCAGAAGGTATGGAACAATGACTGCAAGGATTTTGCGAGATGTAAAAATAACCTGATTTTAATAGTTTCTCTGGGGAAATATAGTCATAGTAAACATATTATGATAGTCATAGCATATGCTTGAAGTTTATGTTTTTTTTTTTTATAAAAAATAAAATAAAATTTGATCCCTCTATTTTCATTGTTAATTTCAGTTCATTTGTTTGCTTGACATTTGGTCTTTGATGAAATATTGATAACACACTGAAATATAGTTTATATTAAGTACTGTACTATACAGAAGCACTAACTAGCCATTGCCAAGACCTAAATCTACACAAAAAAACTCCCTATATCCCTTGAACTACTTAGGAAAGACATATATACACCTCTTCCGTGAGATTTGAAATGATGATATAATTGGATTTTATGATTCTAAAAAAATAGTGCTCTACACATTTCGTCTTATCAAGTGACAAAGGACAAAGCTATAATTTTATTTATGTTTTTACCTTTAAAGGAGATGCAAAAAAACACCATGTAATGGACATCAGAGAAATGGTTTAGACATGCATAAAAACCTAAAATAGGTAAACTAATAATTCAAATTCAACTATTTTGAGGGGTACACCAAGCTCTTGCCGTAGTGCAAGACAAGAGTGATGTTGATAGTCCAATAGCAAGCTATTGAAAATGACTCTCTCCCTAAAAAATTAATTTAATATCACATAAACCATTGGTTTATATATCAGATATTAAACTGATAAGAACAGATACTACACTTGATCTTAGCCAAAAGGCCGAGAAAGGTATGATTTATTTAGATAAAGAGTCCACTTTTTATATTCTTATATCCAGCTGTTTGTGAGGATTCTGAAATAATGTGGGACTTTCCGAATTAAGTTAGAGTAATTTTAAAATTAAATCAGAAATTGCATTTATGTATTATTGATCAAATCTGAAACTGATGGGCGAATTTCAAACATTTTGTATGAAATAATACTCTACTTGAATATATTATTAGCTATTTTATTTTCCTTATTATTTTAAGGTTGTTTTGAATGCTCAAAATAATTAGTCGCAGAAACATGTTTAAATCTATTTTTTAAGTATCTCCTTTCAACCAAATATTTCATGCTAGTTTTCTTCTAACAATGTCATTTCACTTATTCCAGATTTTTGTTTAAAAAGATTACAAGAGAAATGAAAATAACAACAAATCCAGTTTTCTGAGATTTCTCAATGTATATGATGAGAAAGAACAACATTTATGCATGCATGAGAACAAGTGTACAGAATGGAAGATTTACATCATACAAAACTGACTAGTTATTAAGATTTTGTTAATATAGACAGAAGAGCAAGATATAGAATATGCTCCCACTGAGCATTCAAGATACAACAGTGAAGTGGCAGTGGTATCGACTTCATATATAGAAGAGTTTTTATTCTTTCTGTTTTGAAATTTAGAGAAAAAAAAAAGTATTTTGTGAAAAGTTCAGTCGTTAGTAATGAGAATTCATGTTCTTTTTGACATCTTGCAAACTCTTCTAAAAGAAGTGTTATTCTGGTAAATGTCTTCTAATGTACCTGAAACTGACTCAATCAAGGGGTTACACAACTTATTCTCTGTGCAGCTACTCATTAACGAATAAAAAAGAATATCAGAAGCATCCTCCAACAATTTGTAAAGGTGAGCTATTCAAACTAACTTTGGTTTTGGTCTTCATCTTGGGTGTATATTATTACTCATTTTTTACTCTTGGATGGTATATGCACATGTGTTAGTGCTCTTTATCCCTATTTTCTTCGATTTGTGCAATATTTTCACTATTGTATGTTGTTCAAAAGACCTTCTTGCCTTTGTTCAGAACAATCAAACCTTGTTGGGTTCAATATATTTAGGTTTCACTGGAGTTCTGAGAATCGAATGAGACAGATCAATTGATTGTAATTGATACTAATTCACAACGAAGTCAATGCTAAGGGATATGTACAGAGAAATATGAGACTATAAAGTTTGCTTCCATAAACTGTAACTTTATGTTTGAATTTATGATAAATAAAATTATGGCAACGCAAATTGTGATATAATATAAATCTGAAAACTTTGACAGTAACATTCGTACGTGTGATACGTGCATCAAAAGTTTTATTTTTCTTTTTGTTGGTATTGAGCATTCTATTTTGTGTGCATGTTATGTCTTTTCAAATTTAATGCTGTGAGATAACATTTATACCATACTTAATTTTGGTTGCAAGATTCTTCGTAATGGCGGAAGATAGAAAAAGAGAAAGTCACTCACCAAAAGAAACCACCCTCACGCTATACCCTCCACTCTAAGAGCCCAGAGACCTATGTTTTCACTTAAGTCCCCAAACTCAACTCTCAACTTGGAATAGGCAGGCAAACTTATTCCAACACAACCTCACCCACCAAACTTTAGTGTTGTTCCATCACAATAGAGCCCCCACTTGGGTCACAAGCTGGAGTGACTCAGCTCGGCAATCGAGCACACTATTGAGTATGGTTATAAATACACGGTTGTTTCATTCTCTGTTGGATATGGGACACAAGTATGAAAAAACTCTACAGTGCATCACTAACAATAAGAACTTTGACAGTATCTCTTTACCTTTCTCCAAGATTTGAAATGATGATCCATTTAGATTTTGACTGTTATCCACACAATACTGATATTTTAACTCTTTACTGGTTTATGATGTGAAATGACTAAGATATACTTTTGCTTCATTTTATTTTAGTTTTTAACTTTTGTATCACTTTAAAGAAGGTGCAAAACCATGCATATTAGATATGATTATTTTGTTAATCTGTTACTCTTTATGCAGTAATCTAGGTTTTTTGGAATCCAATTTAAGATAATTTTCCTCTTCTCATTGTGGTTGAGAATATTGAATGTTGCATGGAATGAGATGCATACGTATTTTCTCTTCTGTTCTTCTTCTCTAATTGCGTATATCCTACTCTTTGTCATGGGTTATTACAAAACTTCTTTCTCATATACCACACTTTTCATTGTATCAGAGTAAGTTGAATACCTACTCAGCTTCCGCTGCCATCTTTTTCTTCTTTCTTGATGCTAGTCTGCCCTCTTGAATAATGGAGTCAGCTTCCACAAAAACATAAAACTAATCTCTTAATCCTTCGTGCCCTTACTGCCCTCTTGAATAATGTAGTCTGATCTGCAGTTGCATTGTAGACATGGCTTTGCCACTTGTTGATAAGGTTTTATTTGATGAAATATTCCATTTAGTATTTTCCCTTCATTTTTTTAGGATATTAAATTGAAAGCACTCTTATAAATGAAAAAAATATAAAACTAACAGAGAAGAAATATGATAAAAAATATATATATATATATATATATATATATATAAATTATTAATTATATTAAAAAATATTATTTTTTAAATATTATTTTGTCTAATTATACTTTATAATTATTAATAATATTTATATTCCAACTATTTTTAAGAAAGACGAGAGTCATAACGGCAGGGAAAAAGAGATGAGATAAAGAAAACAAAATCATATCAAAATAATAATAAAAAAAAACATATTTTCAACCTTATTATTTTATTTTATATTTAAAAAAATTGAATTAATTTTTAACAGCTACTAAAAATAAATGCTGCTTCTGTCATAATTAACCGAATAAGACTTTGAATAATTAAGATCAAACTTCTAACGAATTTATTTTTCAATAAAAAATATATAATTTTTTAGCACAAATTTAAAAATAAATTAAATGTTATAGATATAAATTAATAAGAATGACCCGTATGTAAAAATAAAATAAATAATAATATAAATAAATAAAATTAAAATAAAGATAATGAAGAATATAATTATAAAAAAGAGAGAGTATATAATTGAAAATAAATTAAGTAATATAAACACAAATAAAAAGTAAAATAAAAATAAGAACATAAACAATCATAATAAAAATAAAAGAATATATTTTTAATAATTAATTTATATATAAAGTAAATAAATAGACCTTTAATTATTTATAGAATATATAAATGTACAACTCTTATGTTTGTAACAAAGTAGTTATAATAATTCCATTTTCTTAACATTTTTCCTAAATTATTCTTTTTAGGAATTTGATGTCAAAACTAAAAGAGAATATTAAATAAAACACCAACTAAGAAATTATATATATTTTAAGAATTGTTTAGTTGAAAGATATAATTATTAGAAGAAAACTGTAATTTTTTTAATTTATAAAAATCTTTTGGAGTAAATCCTAATAAATTGGATTTTTCATCTATTTTATAAAAGAACCAAAATCTTTAGTTTCTTGCAAATAAAGAAGAATTTTCTTTACGACCAACAAATGCATTTCTATATGATTCTCGATATATCTACTAATTAATATACTTATAAAAAATATTATGTCCGGTTGTGTTGTAGTTAAATACATCAAATTGCTAACAATTTGTTTATAAAAAGTGTGTTGTGAATCGTCTTTCCTTCATGATCTTTACGAATATTTAGACTATGCTCTTCTGGAGTGTTTAACATTTTAAAATCCTTCATTTGAAATATATTCAAAGCATCTCATATTTATTTTGAGAGATATTTGTTGAATTATTGACAAGCGTACCAAAATTATCAATCGCAGTATAGTATTTCAATTAAATAAAAGTTGATCCCACGGGAACGGTTTCAATGGAAATTCCCAATTATATGCTTAATAAATGGATTAAAACAGAATGAGTTTTGCATAAAGAGTTGAAATGAAATTAAATGACAAAGAACTGTAAATTGTTTAGAAAAGATCAATTAAAGGCACTTAGGTTTTGATTTCCCTTCCTTTTCCCTCTTTTGCAATGACTATGTTCAATTAAGATCATCAATTAACTTAACAATGTTGATGTCACCTACTCAAATCATCCATGTTAATTTCTCACATATGAAATTCATAAGAAAATCTAATAAATATTGATTTCGCACACAATTAAGAGATTTTCCAGCATTATGTTTAGGGTGTTAAGCAATTGATACATTCATTCCATTCCTGACAATTAACATAACAAATATTCTTATAATGATCTAGGGTTCGAGATATATTTTTCAATCATACCCCAAACATCAAGAATAAATCATTCAAAGGCACAAAAGATAAGAATAACAACATCAAAACATATATTAATATATCAAAATATAACTAAGATACAAAAGAGTTCAAAGGAAGTGCACCTAATCCCAAGAGAATGAAGTTGGTCACTCATGGTGGTCATTACAATGCTCCAAATGAGGAAGAAGTGAAGAATTGATGAAGATTGGACGAAACGCTAGCAGTAGTCACGCCTCTTCTCTCCAAAAACGCCTCCCTCTTCTCAAAACTCGTCTTATCTTTTTATAAGAGAAATTGGGTTTTTGGGCTTCATGTCTTTTGCTCAAGCGACAACACTCGCTCAAAAGAAAGTTTTCTATTTTTGCTCAAGCTACAAAATGCTCGCTTGAGCGAGTGAGTTCCAGGAAAGAATAACTAATTTTCGCTCAAGCGAAATTACTGGTGCTTAAGCGATTGACTTCCAGAGAGTTTTAACTGATTTTTGCTCAAGCGAGAGTCTATCTCGCTCGAGCGACTTCCATGCTAAAAATTTTCTTCCTCCTTTCAGTTTTGTTCCAATTATGTTGACAATTATGCCCCTTACTCTTGTATCAAGATATTCTTGAATTCATCCTACATTGGAAGAAAAATATATTAGAATTGACATAAGTTAAGTGATTTCATAACAATTAAAAGTATAATTATATCAACTTTTTACCATTTAACAACTCTCCCAAACTTAGAATCTTGCTTGTCCCAAGCAAAGTAATTTTTTCAAAACAAAATCATCACCTATTATCACTTTCTCTTCTAGAACCACAACATAAAAAATACTTTTTCTTCCAGATGCGATACTCACAACTCCAAATGAAAATAGAATATATAAGCATTCAAGTTACAAAAACTAACAAAGGAAAATTAATCATCAACTATCCTCAGAGAAGCATGATCTCTCACATAGAGTGATATATAGTCATCTCTGGTAAGTGTTTATCTCATTCAATCACTTCATTTAAACAATCCAATATTGATAATCGGCTTAAAGCAATTAGCATTTGTTAAGCAATACTTAAATCAAAAGGTCTTTTGAGGCTTGTAATGGGGTTGGGCTAAGAAAGAATTCATTGGTTTTTCTGGGATATACAAAAGTATTTGAGAAATTTAAATCATATGAATGATTCTTGTTTAACATTTCCTCAAGTCGGGTTTCAAACTTCATGCTTTTGCTCTAACATCAAGATAGTGCATTAACAATCTCGCCAGTTATCATTCACACCATTTTGAATTTCTTTTTCCTTTACTCATGTTTTACATTTATCATTACGGCTTAGCCTCAACTTTTATGCTTTTCTTTTCCCTTTTTCTCAACCTCTTTTTCTCCTTCCTTTTCTTTCTTTATTTTTTTTTTGGAATACCCAACAATACTCATAGGAAAACACTAGCAATACCCAACAATACCTGTAGGAAAACTGATAACATTCATAATCATTTCATTTCTCAAATATAGGAAGGTGGATAATTATTGTTTAGGCTCAAGGGTTCTGTTTAAGAAAATATCTCGTTTTTTGCTCAAATGGGGTTCAATTGGATGTCCTATAATTAATGCAGGATTGACTATAATTAATGCAGGATTGCTCAAATAGGGTGTTAAGCAATTGATACATTCATTCCATTCCTGTCAATTAACATAACAAATATTCTTACCATGATCTAGGGTTCAAGATATATTTTTCAATTATACCCCAAACATCAAGAATAAATCATTCCAAGGCACAAAAGATAAGAATAACAACATCAAAACATAGATTAATATCTCAAAATATAACCAAGATACAAAAGAGTTCAAAGGAAGTGCACCCAATCCCAAGAGAATGAAGTTAGCCACTCATGGTGGTCATTACAATGCTCCAAATGAGGAAGAAGTGAAGAATTGATGAAGATTGGACGAAACCCTAGCTGTAGTCACGCTCTTCTCTCCAAAAACGCATCCCTCTTCTCAAAACTCGTCTTATCTTTTTATAGGAGAAATTGAGCTTTTGGACTTTGCGTCTTTCGCTCAAGTCACAACACTCGCTCAAGAGAAAGTTCCCTATTTTCGCTCAAGCGACAAAATGCTCGCTTGAGCGAGTGAGTTCCGAAGAAGAATAACTAATTTTTTATCAAGCGAAATTACTGGCTCTTGAGCGTCTGACTTCTAGAGAGTTTTAACTGATTTTCGCTCAAGCGAGAGTCTATCTCGCTCGAGCGACTTTCATGCTGAATATCTTCTTCCTCCTTTCAGTTTTGCTCCAATTATGTTGACAATTATGTATCTTACTCTTGTATCAAGGTATTCTCGAATTCATCCTACATTAGAAGAAAAATAGATTAGAATTGACATAAGTTAAGTGATTTCATAACAATTAAAAACATAATTATATAAACTTTTTACCATTTAACAATATTGATTCCATCAACTGATTGAATTAAGTTTTTACCAAAAAAAAAGTAATGGATCAAGGCAAGATCACTCATTTCAAAATCATCCATCATAGATTTCTTAAAGTTATCAAACTTGAAAGTGCAAATTCCAGTAAAAATAAGATTATTAGCATATAAGTAAACCATAAACAATTTACCTTTATCTCAAATTTACTCAAAAAGTGTGTGTTCAAAAGGATATTTTGTGAATCCATCTTTAAGAAAATGAGATTTAATGCGACTATACCATATTCATGAAGTTTATTTCAACTTTACCATCTTCTTTCAACTTTGCCATAAACACCCGTTTTACACCAATGATGTTACACTCTTTAGGATTATCACACAATTACCATGTATTATTCATTTCTTTCAGTGATATCAATTTCATCATTCATCGTCGTTAGTCATTTCTCTTCCTTGACAGTATTTTCGTATGTTATAGGATCCCAAACTACAAATAAAGCAAAATACATAATTGGATAGGAAGTCTAGTTACATAATTATCCATCTAAGCTGGTCATTTTCCTTTGCAAGGAAATAATTAATCTTCATTGTCATGCTTTGTAGAAGAAGTTTTACTGATTGTTGAAGCAATTATTTCTAATGTAGAAG